GACCCCGATCCAACCAGTTAGTCCTTGATCGAGTGAATTATCCGGGTCGATGTCCGGTCTGATTTTTAGAATATTATATTGGGCAAAAGAGGAGAAAATATTTGAAGTTAGTAGTAGTAGTAGTAGCCATTATTATATTGTTAATTATGTATGATTAAGCCTCTAGTTGATTGGTACACTAATAATGTACGTTCCCTTTCCCTTCCCGTGCAAGGTGGTTTCCCGCTGGCCTTTCCCGTGCGGCACATCCCAAGGCCTTTGTTATGAGTACTCCACCGGGAGATAACGGACCAGTAGAGGATGAGTGTGGGGAACCAACTCGAGACGATGACGATGGACAGCCGGGGAAAGCGGGGAGTCCGGTGCGCAGGGGCACAAGAACAAGACGACCACCGGCATGGCATGCCGACTACGACACGTAGTTATTTTTAGTAGCACTTTTATTATTTTCATTATTATTGTTATATTTAATAATTGTAATAGATTTTCTTAGGAGAGCGGTCTATAAGCTCCTTCAAGGGTTTTCTTTTCGGTTCTTTCCTTTGACGCCTTTATTGAACCGACAGGTAGATTAGGGTTAGGGTTTCACCTATAAGAGAAGATGTACCCAACGGGATTAGTATGGAAGAATAATCAAAAACCCTAAATTAGTCTACTCTTCTTCTCCTTTCCTGCGGCGCACCTGGTGCGTCATTCTTCTCTCCTTCACCTCATCTTTTCGGAGCCTGAAGGCGCTCGAAGTCTCTCCCCGCCGATACAAATACGTATCAGCCTTAGTGCTTGTTTTACTTACAGCGAGACACACACTTACCATATAATGATAATTCATAATATTATTTGAAAATATATGTTGGTATTATTGACATTATATGTCATATTTTATGCACAAAAAGATGAAGGTCCATTTTTGCGGAATTGGTCTCCTTGCTATATTTTAGTCTAATTTGGTCCTTTTTACTATTTCAACTAGACTGAGTCATCTTTAGGTTTATAAATGAGAATTTTTTTTAGTCTCCACCGTTTGCCTGTTTTCAAGAACTATATTAAATTCCATAATAATATTTGGGGAATCTCACTTGGGCTACGCAAAGTGTACACTAAGGTACAAATAGGAACACAGAGACACTACTACTTGTGCACGCTCACACATTAAGTGTTTGTGTGTGCCTATTTGTGCCATGTTGTACCCCAAATGGGGTTCTCTAGCACTTCCCTTAATACTAAGTCAATTCCAAATATTTTAAATTTTAAAATCCGTATCATATTTTTAGATTTTAGAATTTATATCATGCTAGTAGTTTGCTCACCTAAGTGGTCTTATATAGCGGGTGAGAGTAAGTATATTTCTTTGCGTTTAAAATTTAAACAACTCTTACGGCCTGTTTAGTCTTTGGTGAATTTTGGAGGTATGATAAAAAATAAATTTTAAAATCTAGAAGAAAATTTATGAGTTTTGAATGTGAAACAAAAATATTTGTGAGGATTTTTAAACCATTATGTAACTACTAATATGCGGAGGTGACTGGCAATATGGGTGATTGACGGTGACAATGGTAGTCGATGGCCTAAAATGATTACTCATGTATGCATGTTCGTCCCTTCCCACATCGCCTATAACTACTCTGTTATTTTGTTTCTAATTTTAAACGGCCAACCCGATTATCAAGCACAATTTCAAACTAAAGTGCATTGGCATTGGGCAAAGTAGATCCACTCCGTGAGGTGCTCAGGGTTCAGAATAACGATTCTTTCAAAAATTATATCACCTTTTGTAAGAGTCATCAATGAACCTTGAATACCTTTCATTTTGGGACTACGCAGCAAGAGGTTGGATGCCCCTTTTTTTTGAGAACTCAATCGACTAATTGTTTTTAGTCATAGAAAGATCAAAATGATTTGATAAATTTTCATATTTGGCATGGTCAGTCCCAAGGGTGTGCAAGAATAGTGATTAATAACGTGGAAGAGTAATTAAAAATAAAAAGTAATATGAGATGTGATGAATGTGATATGGGAAAGTTGGGTTAAAGAGGGATATTGTAGTCTATCATCCTATTCTTAAAAGCAGGGGAATTATGCCCCATGCTTTTTCCCGCCCAATGACTATCATTTATGGACCATCAATTTTAATCTATTACATTTAATCTACGGTTATTATTAATCCATGTGTATTACTCGAGATAAAAAGGGAAATACTGTGTGTATTTAACGTGTTTTTATTTAATTACCAAAATTAATACTGTGTGTATTTACAGCATTATTACCGTGTGTATTCCCGATTATTACCAAAATTAATACCGTGTGTGTTTTAATCTATTAGGGAAATACTGTGTGCATTGTGTATCTGTTACTATTGGTATTAATTACCAAAATTAATACCGCGTGTATTTAATGCCCAGAATTAATATCGTGCATTCATTACTCGAAAAAGGAAAGCATTGTGCATATACATATTTAGGTTTTAAAGTGTTATAAAAAAAGAAATTTACTTTATACGGTTCCCACCCAAACTCACACCTTTGTAAGCCGTTGATCTTTGAGGATTTGATCATCTACGGTTGATATAAAATATTTCATTAATGTAGACCTACAGCAATCTAAAAATGTAAGAATTTAATGCTATATTATTACTTTGTTACCATTAAAGGAGGAAATATTACGGCACTCTAAAAAAGGTAACAATTTCCTACTATATTATTACCTTGATACCACTAAATGAGGAAATAAATACAAAATGGCAAGAATTAAATAGGAAATGAAAAGCAATTTTTTCAAACGGAAATAATAAAAAATAAATATATTAATGATAATGTGTTTAAAGTTTTGTAACATGACTCAATAAAAAATCTAATATATTACATTTAAAAATTTGTACGTATACATTACTATATATAAAAATAATAATACTAATTATTATTAAATATAAAATCTATTTTAATTAAGGAAATAAAAATCAGGATATAAAATACTACATTGTTGTATATAATAAAATA